TATCTATGGAAAATTAAATAAACTTGAGACACCGGTGGGGAATTGTTATAATTTCCTCAATTTATTTCAAAGTTAATTCTGTGAAATTGTAACGAATCTTATAAAAGAAAATTAAATTTTATTTTTGTCAATATATTCACCGCGTTGTTAATTACTTCTCAGACTAATTTAGACATTCGATTTATCAATTTATCTATTATTTCTGATTCTATTTGGTTGCATTCATGTTGTAGTATGTTCCACATATTTGGGTAATATAACGGGTGAATGGGTGAACACATAATGGGCGAATTAATTGCACAAGTGAAAAACATTTCTAACTTAATGTAAACTGAATGAGAAATTCCAATTTATACTAAATCAGCAGATGAGCCGTTTATTTTGAAAGTGGCAGAAGTCACTCTACCGTAATGAAAAGTGGTGATTTTTTAATGTTTATACGAAATTATTTATACTGAGAAAAATATCAGTATCCTGAGATAACAAATACAAGTAAATCTTCTCGAAAGTTAGCATCCATATTTTGAAACGTGTTAAAACGCAAATCCTTAAATATATCGACTTAAAAACAAAGTAACTTATGCCACTTCCAAAATAAACGGCTCAGATGTCCTAATACTTATGTAGGGGGATGTAAATCAATAGCCGATCTGACTTTTCTTTATGAAATCATTAATAGCCAGCTCACGATCCCTTCCATTTCTGTATGCATCCATTTCAATGTATCACCTGAAACATTACGTAAACCCATATTTAGTACTACATACTGCTTCAGAACAAAGCTAGAATTCGAATCTATGTTCAAATTCTTTATCGCACTTTGTTCGCCTTTTCTCTGCCCCTATATGTATAGTAACCTTCAAACGCACCGCTATTTTAGCTTTAGCAGCAATTAGAAATCTTAACCGAGTCTTTAAATATATTCGAATTCATTAGCTTGCCTTCCTTTTTCCTATTTTCCTGCAAGCATTTTTTTCTTTATACTTTGTGTTACTTACTCTTGTCTACTTTACTTTGTCATCTTTTGTATAACCACATTAACGTCCCCGTAAGGATCTCCATTTTATATGACAAAGTGCATTTTATGCATACGAAATTGAGTCTTGCGGTGACTCGTATAACAGTTAAACTTCTAACAATTTTTTAAATTTAAACTTTGTTAATGTAAAAATTATCTTGGAGCGTGAATGAATAATTTTAGTGGTGTCTCAGAGTCACCACTCGAGTGCAAAGGGTTAAATTAAGTAAATAAATTTAAGTAAATTAAATAAATTAAATAAGTTAAATAAGTTATTAGATAAAGAAATTTAAATTAAATAAATTAATCTGTTCGATCGGAAACGCATGCGTGCAGATGAGAAGCTGCGCGATCGAGCTGGCGGAAGCGGAACAGAGTCTCGCGTTCTATCGAAGGGCTTGCTCGAACGCGCGCGCGACCCAAGGTCGTCGCAAGGAGGCCATCCTTAAGCTCGAGAAGGCTATGACCGAGCTGCTGGAGGACCAGGAGGTTCGGTTGGTGCTAAAGACTGGACAGCTGCGTCAACAACCTCGCGGCGATTCCACTTCCGAGTGGTCGGAATCGGTGCTGATTCCGCGTCGGGAACTCGATCTTGTTGCCGAGGCTGTCGCTGCAGCGGGCCAACGAAAGCTCACCGAATTGCGTCGGCTGGTCAACCTGCAAAGGGCCCGATCTCGGGAGGAATGGCGGCAGGCGTGCCTGCAAAGAACGATGCAGGATTTGCGAGCGAGCTTGGTCGACCTGACCAACGTCAAGGTAATCGTTACTTATTAATTAATTAATTTATTTTCGGTTAAATGAAACACATTGGTTAATCCTCGCAGTACCGATGGATGGGCGTTCACACGAAGCCCCATATTTGGGTTCGAACAAATTCACGAGCTTATGTATACAAAGGATTTTCAACTAAAATTTTGTTGTTATTATCATCGTTATTATCATCATCTTACAGTGAGAGTCTAAACTTAAATTGAGATATGTGCGCGGCATGTACATTATAAACATACGGTTTTATTTTGTTAAAACAATAGAAAAATTTGTACAAAACCGAATTGAAGACACGCATGTTAAAAATCTGTATGCGATTAATATTAGGTCTACCGGAAAGTTCTGTCCGATAGTGTCACTTCAAGTTTCAATCCATATGCACATGTTGATTTGAGACATATATGACTATCTCTCTTTATCATTGCATTTACACGCATGTACTCTCCTAAATAAACTGAAACAAAGATATCTCGTGTCATTATTAAGTGAGACGCGATCGTGAAAACCAGGCTACCGATGATATTGCCAGACCACATGCTGCTTTGGCGACTCGACAGAAAATCGCAGAGCTAGGCTGGGAAATTCTGTCGCATCCACCATACTCCCCAGACCTAGCACCCTCCGATTATCACTTGTTTCTCTCTTTGCAAAACTTTTTACAGGAAAAAAAATTCAAAACTGAAGCTGATGTCAACCAAGCACTAGTTGAGTTCTTCGCCTCTAAAAATAAATCATTTTTGTAAAAATTGCATTTACAAGTTGCCATCACGCTGGCAAGAAGTCGTAAGTAACGTTGGAAAGTATATTCTACAATAAATATTATTAAATGTATGAAAATTGTGTTATATTTCAATTCAAAAACGGACAGAACTTTCCGGTAGACCTAATAATTAAACTGCATCCCACCTTCTGAAACGCAAAATTCTGCTCTTTGTAATAAAGTTTTATGCGTGGCTTCTATTAGAGTACTTCTTTGTATATTTCCGCACGCATGAATCACGCGCTCTTTAAGATTTTCAACACGTTTACGGGTCTGTCGTATACATACAATCGATTGCAAATATCCGCAAAGATAAATGACATCCGAAGGTCATCATGTAGCAGGTCGTTGAATTCTCAGGTCTCGGTGTTGCTTGTAGTACTATGAAGTTAAAATAACCTAGTTTTATTTAAAAATGTAACGGTGACCTTGTTTTTTCCGAAAATCAATTTGTTTTTAAATTTAAACAATTGCAATTTCTTGTCGGTTGAAATACCAATTAATTTTGATAGGAAACACTTTTTGTCAGACCATCGGAAGGGACTGAAAAATCGTGGGGCTACAGTAATTTCTCTCAGAAATGTTCGGCGGCTCCTTTCTGTAGCAACTCGGGGCAATCGGCAAAAAATGGCAGCGGCATTCACAGTGATACTAGGATAAAAACGATGACTTAACTTTTTAATTTCTAATTTTTAGCCACGATTCGAAGGCAATTCGGAGGCCACATGCCACGTTTTGACAGACAACTCGGAGGCCACATGACACGATTCGACGGTCACGTACCTTTTGGTTCTGCGGTTTTCCTTAGCTGACTCACACCGAAACATATCATTTTCGCGAACAATTCACGTTGCGTATCGCATCACACGCTCGACTCTTAGCATCGACGTAGTAATAAATTACATAGGCGTAAGATCAACACAGAGAAATTCACAGCAACCCGAAATTTGGCATTTCCGGGAGAAATTATTGTAATTCACTCTGTAGACAGTGTTTCGATCAATTTTTAAAAAATCGATTTTTCTCGCTGCGATCCAGAATCGATTCTCGAATCGATATTTTTGCTAGAATCGGCCATCCTTAATTGTTACCTTAGAGCGACTTTGTCCATTCGTAGGCGAGGAAGCTCGAAAGAGGAGGACTCGCCGAGCCATCGAGCGTCGGTGCCGACGAGCTTTCGTCGGCGAAACTCTCGTTCCGGCAGCTGGAGGACACCGTGAGGAAGGAGAGGAGTAGATCGCAGCGCATTTCGGACGAGTCGCGATCCTGGCGTAGGAGAAACGCGAAGCTGAAGCACCGGGTCCAGGAAACCGAGGCCGAGACGAATCGGCTGACGGTTGCAGCACGCGACCCTTTTCGCCTCCAGGCTGTCGCTTTTCGCGAAAGAAGGATGCGCGCCGTAACGACGAAGGCGAAACTCGCCAGAACGATTCGAAGCAACTTCGAGGAGCTGCTCGTTCTCGAGAGCCGGCTAGAAATTTCCAAGCTGAGAACATACCCTACTTTGAGACTGAAGATGTGAGGCGCGGCAGCAACGATCGTTCTCTCCGGGAAATCCCCTTGGAGATCGTATTTGCAAATTCTATTGGTCTCGGCCGTTGGAATTCCTGGAACACGACTGTACTTTCCTCTTGCGCAAAGCCGGCAAGTTGTCACGCCCGTAAACTCGCGATACGAACGAACGAGCGTACGAGCGATTCAAGGTCAAAGATTATCGCAGCTATCGAAACTTGTTTTCACATGTGCTCGCAATCCGTGCAGGGGTCGCCGTGGTATCCGGCTATCGAGACGAGTCGTCGCCAGTGACAGATCGCAACCTTGACACACGGGGAATTACGCGATTCGTTTGCACGCGTCCCGCGTTGCATATCGCGTCTCGTCTTGCATTTTGTCTAGCAAGCAGGCCTCGCACCTGCGGGGTCGCCAATTTTATCCGAACATTTTCTGGCGATTCTAAAGCAAAAACGCGTGGACACATATCCGAGCTTTTTTGCCAATGCTCATATTATTTATGAAGATATTTAATATTTAATTTTTAGATTAAATTTTGGATCATATACGTAGTTTCGTCAATAGATCGTAACAGGTGCATTGGCGACTGCTATTAATACGTGGATTCGTACTATCAAGATCCAAAGCTTGAGTCTCGTTAATAGATAAATATAATCTCGCTAATATATTACATTAATTATAGTAATAAGTATAGCATAGTATATAGTATATAGTTAAGTAATATAGTATAACTAGTAATATAGTATATAGTTAATATATTATATGTATATATCTCGTTAAAATAAGAATAAAAACCTTTTTTATTTTTTATTTTTTTTTTGTATTTTTATTTCTCGAAAGTACTCGTATTCCACATGTTTTTAGGATGCACTGCATCCGCAGCGTTGTGATAAGCATGCAAAAGGAAACAGATGAACATAAAAATATTAAAAAAATAAAGAAAAAAGTTCTTGTCTCTAACGAGATCCATGTACATACTATTCATATACATATTAAATAACTTGATAAATAATGAGCATTGGCAAAATAAAATTGGTGAACCCACAAGTGCGAGGTCTCCTCTTGCGAGTTCCTTTAAATGTATTGTCTTAGAACTACAGGTGTTTACATCTAACTCCTCAAAATGCGCCCCTCAAAATAACGATACCACAATATCTTTGAAACTATTTCTTAACGACGAAAATAGATCTTTATTTGTACGTAAAGCTTCCATTTCAATATCTAAATAACAATGAAGTGTAATCGTTAATTACAAAAATACTGATATAACCGATGGTTACTTTAGCACTGACGTACTTACCAAATATAGGATGAAAAATGTACTGAACATAACTGAACCAAACGTAGGATAAATAATAACATAATGACACACAATAGACTGAAAACAATAATACACTACGTAACTATACGTACATTGTATATATACTATAAATAACAAAACTTAAAAAAGAAAAAAAAGAAAACAAAAATTATAATATACAAAAGGTTAAATGCGTGAAAAATAAATTGATAGAACTGATCCCAAACAAAATATTGCTCGATAAAACTGTTGAACATAAATAGTTGACGATCTCACGTTCAGCGGCCATGTTCTGACCGCCAGAGTCTCGTAATAACAGAGTTTCCAACAACAGATACGCTTCAAACGATAATAATTTTCCTTCAGTGACGTTATAGGAAGTAATCTTAGCGCGATTATATAGGGAAAGTATAATGAAAATATTCTGTTTTTTAGAAATGCTGAATAGATGGAGCTAAAAATATATTCATCGTCAATTATGGAAAACTTACAAGATTCTCTATACTTCGTTGAACATACTTCTTTTTATAAATTATAAACAATGCCTGTCAGTCCAAGGTTTATTCACAGTAGGCGAAAATACTGTTTAATTAAAAAAAAAAATCGGAGAGATAATATGAAACGGGTTCTTCAGGATATCGGTACAAAGAGCAAGCACGTTTTTGGGGAAAAAATAGAATTAACAAAATGATGATCTATAAGTGCTGTTTCTAATCACGATTGTTGATAAACTTCATTAATTTTACCGTTTTCTAAAGCATTGGACATTTAGAAAGCTGGATACGCACGATGAACTTGGATATGTTTATCAATATGTCTTTTTATGCTAGCTCTTCGGTAGGAAACTGTGCGCGTCGTCGGGATCCTGGGTGTGCGAAATCATAAAAATAATTCTAGTTCGCGAGAAGTGGAAAAGGACTCGCATTCCAAAGGAGAGGAACCGCGAGAAGATCGCCGTGTCGAGTGGAAGAAAAAGACGCGCGATAACCGCGGCGAGGTCAGCCATCTCCTCCTACGAGATCTCCGCGTCCCTGCGTCTCTCTCCGGAGGTAGAAGCTACGAGACCAGACCGGCAACGAGACGTTGCTATATTGTATATAAGAAGCCTGTCGCCGTGTCTCGCTGGTAGTGTTGCATAGATCGCGAGGCAACGAGCCAACGCGCAGCATCAATCCGCGATCGCACACCCTTTCGTTTCGTACACCGAACTCGATCTCCGTTTTCGCCTTCGCGAAGTTTCTCTTTCGAACCGATCGAGTTAGAAACTCATAGAACGATGACGAGAGGTGAAATCGGCGGCGCGGTGGTCGCCCTGTTGACCCTCGCGTTCCTCGGCGTTTCCGTCGCCGACAGCGGGGCCAGCACCCCTGCACCTGGAAAAGTCTGTAAGTATTCCGAAATCCTTAGAAATTATTGAAAACTTGCTCGATCTTCCCTTGTTTAGTCACGATCTGCGTGCCCGATGTCTACTGGGAGGAATGCAAGGATATGGTCGAGGACTCTGCCGTCAATGGCATCCCGGTTTCCTGCATCACTGGCCGCGACCGATTCGAATGCATCGAGATGGTCGGTAAGAAGCTGGTCGACGTAGTGGCCGTCGACCCGGAGGACATGTATCTGGCAGCGAACAACATGCTGGCCAAGCAAGCCAAGTACAGCGTCGTTGAACAGGTGAGGAACCAACCGAGTCACTTTTCACTAGTTTAATTTAATTTAATTTCATCTAATCTAATCTAATTTCATCTAATTTCATCTAATTTGATTCAATTTGATTCAATTTGATTCAATTTGATTCAATTTTACTCAATTTGATACAATTTGATTCAATTTTACTCAATTTGATACAATTTGATTCAATTTGATTCAATTTGATTCAATTTGGTTCAATTTGATTCAATTTGGTTCAATTTGATACAATTTGATACAATTTGATTCAATTTGATTCAATTTGATTCAATTTGATTCAATTTGATTCAGTTTGATTCAGTTTGATTCAATTTGATTCAATTTGATTCAATTTGATTCAATTTGATTTGTTTTGATTTGATTTGATTTGATTTGATTTGATTTGATTTGATTTGATTTAATTTAATTTAATTTAATTTAATTTAATTTAATTTAATTTAATTTAATTTAATTTAATTTAATTTAATTTAATTTAATTTAATTTAATTTAATTTAATTTAATTTAATTTAATTTAATTTAATTTAATTTAATTTAATTTAATTTAATTTAATTTAATTTAATTTAATTTAATTTAATTTAATTTAATTTAATTTAATTTAATTTAATTTAATTTAATTTAATTTAATTTAATTTAATTTAATTTAATTTAATTTAATTTAATTTAATTTAATTTAATTTAATTTAATTTAATTTAATTTAATTTAATTTAATTTAATTTAATTTAATTTAATTTAATTTAATTTAATTTAATTTAATTTAATTTAATTTAATTTAATTTAATTTAATTTAATTTAATTTAATTTAATTTAATTTAATTTAATTTAATTTAATTTAATTTAATTTAATTTAATTTAATTTAATTTAATTTAATTTAATTTAATTTAATTTAATTTAATTTAATTTAATTTAATTTAATTTAATTTAATTTAATTTAATTTAATTTAATTTAATTTAATTTAATTTAATTTAATTTAATTTAATTTAATTTAATTTAATTTAATTTAATTTAATTTAATTTAATTTAATTTAATTTAATTTAATTTAATTTAATTTAATTTAATTTAATTTAATTTAATTTAATTTAATTTAATTTAATTTAATTTAATTTAATTTAATTTAATTTAATTTAATTTAATTTAATTTAATTTAATTTAATTTAATTTAATTTAATTTAATTTAATTTAATTTAATTTAATTTAATTTAATTTAATTTAATTTAATTTAATTATACAGAGTGTTTCAGAAATGCATGTCAATACTCGAAGAGCCGAATCTCTAAACACTAATTTAAATAAAAAGTGTCCAATGCACGAATGTCCTAAGTAAACTACTTTCCGAGTTATAACCGCAACAAGAAATCAACGTATAGCCGCCATGGTCCCCCGGCTTCAATTCGTTAGGTTTTTACCTTTCGGGCGGTTTTTTTTTAGAGTATTCGCGAGAGCAACGCCTGATATTTTTCAGCGAGTGTAAAATTCTATATGAGTACTCGAACACGCGATGGTCATGTCAAATATTTTCTTGAGTCATTTATGCTACAAAAAGTAATGTATAGGGTGTCAGAAAATTATACGTCACAATCGCCATAGTGGAATTCTACACTCCAGGATCGGTGGGGATGCGTTAAAAAAATTCGTGAAAAGTTGACCTTGACCTGCAAAAGCAAGGTCAAATTTTTGTTTGCTGTATCATAATAGTATTCGTCAGGGGGAACAATAGTCTCGAAAAACCACATATGAAAAGCATATGTCACGACCACCAGACCCAAAACTGCGGCACAACTGGCCGGATAATGATTCTACATGCAAAAATAAAACGAGAAGAAAAAGAAAAAGAACTGGGTTGGAAGATACATCGAGTTAGCTCTTGTTATACTATTAAATTATATATATTATACTATTATATATATTAATTTAATAATATAATATATATATATATATATATATATATATTAATTTAATTAATATATTATACAATTAAATAGTATTATTATTTCAACCGAATTTTTCTCGTAAACAGAGCCTTGAACGAAAAAATGTTACTCATTTTCTTTGTCTTATTATTACATGCAGAATCGCTATCCTGCCGATTGTGCAGTGATATGTCGTTTTTAACATCGTTTTTTATATAAATGGTTGATTTGCGACCCATAGTTCCTTTAACACTATTGTTCCTCTTGACGAGTACTATATGATACAGCAAACAAAATTTCACCTTGATTTTCATTGTCAAGATCAATTTTGCACGAAATTTTTTTTAACAGATATCCACCGATCCGGAAGTGTAGAATTCCGCCATTGTGATCGTGACATATAATTTTTTGACGCCCTGTACGTAGGACATTCGTTCGCTCAAGTATGTGTTTCTGAAATTCTTTTTATATACGGGTAAACATTCGTTTTTACAATAACAGAAACAAAAACTTATCTTATTTCGAATGCGGAGTATCAATAAATTAGGTAATCAGTTTATAAAGACGTTTCAAATTGTGCAACATTAGTTGCATTTGGTATCGGTCACGCGGATTGGTGGAGATCATGATTGATGGTGTCATTGGTGTCGCAGCCAATTTCGGCGCGGCAATTAAAATCGTAATTAGCGCTGCGACGTTCGATCGGCTTGTGGTTCGGCGAGTTGAAGTAGGTCTTGTCATCTCTGAATGGGCGCATCAGTCAATTGAGGCAATCTCTTTGTTTAGAACAAGAGGCCGTCTTTGAGTGATGTGCCTACGTGACGAGCAGCAGGTATCCTTCTCGCACCTCATTGTGACCGTAACGATCGAACTTACTTCGAGGACACTTTTGTTTAGGACAAGATATCAAAACAACTAAACGACCTACAGTGGGCCACAAAAATGTTCATACACCTTTTGAAACTGAACTAAATGACCTGAACTTTTTTAAATGATTAAGAGGCTGGCTAGTCTACTAGACGATGAATGAAATGTTTTTTTTTAATTTTGCTATTACTTCGAACTAAACGACCTACAGTGGGCCACAAAAATGTAAATGTTCGTACACCTTTTGAAACTGAACAAAATGACTTGAATTTTTTTTAATGATAAAGAGGCTGACTAGTCTACTAGATGATGAACGAAATGTTTTTTTTTTTAATTTTGCTATTACTTGGAATGATAAAAGAATAAAAATCTCTCATTTTTTAACTTTTTTAATTTGGACATCATTTATTAACGTAATATCTCGGTAATATAGATAGATACGCATGTTGAAAATTTTATCGATATCGGTTCACCCTGTTACGAGTTATAACAAATTAAACATCGCAAAAATCGCAGTTTTATCTCGATTTTGACGAAAAACTATAAGAAATGTGCAGTTTTTAAAATCCTTCAACGCCTGTAGCTCGACTCTGGGTTAACGGATTTCGATTAAATTTTCAGCACGCATATAAGTTATCGAGATTTACAAGAGGCATTTTTTAAATTTTTGTTATAGGCTCAGATAGAAAAGTATAAAAGCAAGGGTTTTTAATTATTTCTTTTCATTCCAAGTAATAGCAAAATTAAAAAAAAGCATTTTAGCCATTGTCTAGTAGACTAGTTCCTCTATTATTTGAAAAAGAATTCAAGTCATTTAGTTCAGTTTTGAAAAATTTATTACGTTTTAAAAGGTGTACGAACACTTTTGTGGGCCACTGTATGTAATTCTAGTTTGAAACACCCAAAATATCAGTTCTTTTACTGTAAGAATACATACATAGTGTCAATGTATTTCTTTAACGTTTACTTGCTTTACTTTCAATTTGTTTAAAAGGTGCACTTTGTTCTCTTTATCAATTGGTTGTATTGAATGGGGCAGTGTAATCAAATAAAATAATCTTGGTATTAATCTTATAAGTATAAGCTATATAATGATCTTAAATTATACATAAATCTTTCTTTGCATCTTTGGTTATATCAAGGTTATTATACTCTTCGAGAGTGATACTTTCTTCGTGATTTCCTTTCCTATTGTTTTGTTTTATGCAGATTTTTCGACAAAATTTGGTTTTTATTTTCCTGTTTCTTAACTAAATTATCTTTAAAAATATTTCTAATACATTCTAAATTTTCTTTATCGTTTAATACACTAGATGATTTATTCGTGTCCCATCCATAAACATTCTCTGTGTTCCATTCATAAATTTGGTAACAACATTGAAACTTTAACTTGTTTAATTACTATGATGAAAGAAGACTCTCTCTCTCTCTCTCTCTCTCTCTCTCTCTCTCTCTCTCTCTCTCTCTATTCGATGTTATATGTTAACATTGTTGATGGAATACCTGATCGAATGCAATAAATAAAGACTCAGTGAAAAATAACAGTATTTTATACAACATTATGAGAAAAAATGAAAAAAGAATTAATTATCTGGTATAATTACGCATTAACTGATAGCGGCTTCGCATTACATGTGATTAGATATACGTAACATAGTTACAAAACAAGTGCAATCGTATCATAAAACGATTCATAATTTTTCAGATAATTGTAATGTCCAATTCAATATGTGCCCCATTCATTCTATATTTATCTCGTTTCTGTGTACTCCGTTGTTATTACTTTGTTATTATTGGGTCGTTCGGAAAGTTGTTTCGTTTCTCAAAAAATCATTTCGTTTTGTAAGCTCGTTAAAGAAGCACGTGATTCAGCAAACGACGGGACTTCTACGAGATAAGATTTTGAAAACACCAGAAAAATGTCGGAAGGTTTTTTTTTATTTGAAACGTAAAAAAATTGTCTTTTATTTTCTCGTGAAAGAACGAAACAACTTTCCGAACGACCCAATAATTACAATTTTTTATTATTACAAAAGTGTTGTAAAGTCTACGATACTGCCCACACGATTTGAAAGACTCCTTTGAATCACGATTCGCACAAGCTGCAAATAAAGTGATTAATTTTTTAAAAACCATAGAGTATCAAGTTAACAAGAATTTAAACATTTACGATACGTACAGAAAAATATATCGGTGATGTTTATTCTTGTTAATTCGACACACCATAGTTTTCAAAAAATTAATTACTTTATTACTCGCGTGGAACGAATAAGGAAATAATCGCATATCAAGAAGAAACCAAACCTTTCGAATGGCGTATGAGATATAATCGTTAGGCAATTATTATGTGGAAAATTTAAGTCCAAATTAACCTTTTAGGTACGGCTGAATTCTGCGCGAGGCTATTTCCCTAGACGGCAGATTCTGATATGTACTGTACTGAGTCTGATACTGTATGTATTCCGTCTGTATATTGTTAACACTGTTGTAAATCGATGTGAAGACAAAAGAAATGTGAAACAATGCATAGGAAGATGATTATTTCATTCAAACAGAGAGCGAGTGAGCTACTAGAGCGAGCCACTACAGGGTGTCCCAAAAATGTCTCGCAATCCGAAAGTGGCGGGTTCCTCAGGCCATTTAAAGCAACTTTTTCCTTTACAAACATTTTCTCCGAGGCACCGTTAACCAGTTATTAACGAAAAACGGTGACCAATGAGAGGCGAGCTCAGCTGACGCGAGGCGATCGAGCCAATGAGCGGAACTGGGCTTCGTGCGATGGTTGGCTGGGCCGCCTCGCGTTAGCCGTACTCGATTCTTATTGGTCACTGTTTTTCGTTAATAATTCGTTAACGGTGCCTCGGAGAAAATTTTTGTAAAGGAAGAAGCTGCTTCAAATGGCCTGAGGAACCCGCCATTTTCGGATTGCGAGACATTTTTGGGACACCCGGTATAATGGCGCGTCGTTCAGAGAGATGATATCCGCGAAAGCCACTATAGTGGCGCGTCGTGCCTAAGAGGTTAAAACCGAACTTTTGTGGACCGACCCAATACATAAGATTATCAAGAGATTTTCAAGAGAGCGTATATTCATCGAGAAAATAGTAGTGAATGGACATCATGATCTAATCGCATAAACTATTGACCCATTTTAACGACAATAAAACAAAGAAACTTATGCCGAATGCCCTCAGTCTTATAGATATTTTTCATGGTATTACGCAACCATATTGACGAAGCATATTAGAGTATCGAACGCGTTATTGTAAAATGTAAATATAAGATTGTTTTTGCTTCTAACAATAAAACCTAGAGAGATTGAGATTAATGACAAAAGTCGCATTCTATCGTGAAATCACGCCACAGGTGAGAACGAAAGAGGAGCCTGAAGCGATCTATCGATACGAAGCCGTGGCCGTGATCCACAAGGACCTGGATATAAGCAACGTGCAAGGATTGCGCGGCCTGAAGTCCTGCCACACCGGAGTCGGTCGCAACGTCGGCTACAAGATTCCAATCACCAAACTAACCGCCATGGGTGTCCTACAGAACATCCACGACCCACAGTATTCGGCTCGCGAAAACGAACTTCGCGCCTTCAGCTCGCTCTTCTCGAAGGGATGCTTGGTGGGCACATGGTCGCCGGATCCGGCCATCAATCGACGACTGAGTAAGTTTGCCATAAATTTGTCGATGGAGCGCGTTCTCGGGTTCGTAATTGCATTGAATTGGATTGAATTTTATTAAACATACGAGTGCGAGCTCTTCGTACAATAGTAATCTTAATGCTATAATGTGAGATACAGTAAAGTCTCCCTAATTGACGCTCAGATTGTGCACAAAAATGGACAATTTGGGAAGCGGAGATACGATTATTCGAGCCTGGCGGTTAGTTTTTATAGTTACCGATTGTCAAGAATTATAAAAACAAGCTGCAGGGTTCGAATAATCGTTTCTCCTTTTTCCAAATTGTCCATTTTTGTGCACAATTTGGGCGTCAATTAAGGAGACATTGCTATACCCCTTTGAGAAGGGGAGATACGATTATTCGAGCCTCGCGGTTCATTTTTATTGTTACCGATTGTCAACAATTATAAAAACGAGTTGCAAGGCTTGGGACAATCGTATCTCCTCTTCCAAAATTGTTCATTTTTGTGTACAATCTGAGCTTCAGTTGGGGAAAATCTACTGTAATTAATGAAGTTACGTCTACAACGTTCGAGCGAGAAGGAGAAATCAATCAAAGCTTGAAAAAGATTAACATTGATAAGGGCACGATTCAAAGAGTTAAAGCGGCGGTGAAATCCTTTCACGGGGATCGGACAGTGTCTAAAAGCTATGGATGATAAATTTAAATTGAATCTCCATAGAATACCAGGTTATGAGACCTGTTCCATTTAAGTCTTTATGGCGTAATGTCTAATTCTTCCAGAGGAAACGTATTCGAACATGTGCGCACTCTGCGAGAAACCAGAAATCTGCGACTACCCCGACATTTACTCCGGCTACGAGGGCGCGTTGCGCTGTCTCGCTCACAACGGCGGTGAGGTGGCCTGGACCAAGGTGATTTACGTGAAACGATTCTTCGGGTTGCCCGTCGGCGTGACCCCCGCAGTTCCAACGTCGGAGAATCCCGCCGAATTCCGATACTTCTGTCCTGACGGCAGTAAAGTGCCTATCAACGCCGACACGAAACCGTGCACCTGGGCAGCCAGACCTTGGCAAGGATACATGACCAACGGTGACACGGCCGGCAACGTGAAAGCGTTGCAAAATGTGCGTACTTTTTATTTATTTATTTATTGATTGATTTACGACACGACCAAGGGACCCTTTAATGTACAAGAGAATACACCCAGTTCTGTTTTCACACGGTAGATATGTTCCAGGAAAAGCCGTCCAAAAAATACCCTTTAAGAGAATATATCGTGTACATATAATAGAAAAATAGGGGATTTGTTATTGTTTAATTATTATTGTTTAATGTTTGTATCAAATAACCTTTTTAGCCGTGCTAAGATGAATGAAATCGTGCAAAAAGGAAATTGAATTTATTTTTTGAGATCGTGTTAAATATCATAACCGTGTGGAAAATACAGTATAAAAACAAAATTAACTGTACATGAGAGTGAAGAAGATGTTGAATAATTTGCTCGCCCGCAATCGCACGAGAAAAGAAGGAAAAAGCGATCAAGAGTTACACAATCGTATCTCCCCTTCTCAAATTGTCCATTTTTGTCCACAATCTGAGCGTCAATTAGGGAGAATTTACTGTATTTTGCGTCAATGCGAGGTACAGCAATGTCTCCCTAATTGACGCTCAGATTGTGGACAAAAATGGACAATTTGGGAAGCGGAGATAAGACTGTCTCTTATACACATCTAGATGTGTATAAGAGACAGTCTTATCTCCGCTTCCCAAATTGTCCATTTTTGTCCACAATCTGAGCGTCAATTAGGGAGCTGTCTCTTATACACATCTAGATGTGTATAAGAGACAGCTATAAAAACTAACCGCCAGGCTCGAATAATCGTATCTCCGCTTCCCAAATTGTCCATTTTTGTCCACAATCTGAGCGTCAATTAGGGAGCTGTCTCTTATACACATCTAGATGTGTATAAGAGACAGCTATAAAAACTAACCGCCAGGCTCGAATAATCGTATCTCCGCTTCCCAAATTGTCCATTTTTGTCCACAATCTGAGCGTCCATTAGAGAGAATTTACTGTATTTTGCGTCAATGCGAGGTACAGCAATGTCTCCCTAATTGACGCCCAAATTGTGCACAAAAATGGACAATTTGGGAAGAGGAGAAGGTAGAGGTAGGTTTGTTTTTTGAAGACCGCCGTGTTTTGGGCGAAGAAGTCCACTCTGCCACGGTTTGTGTTTACGAGTAGAAGGATTCTGTTTATCGGGTCTTCTCTCGATTCTTTTCCTTTTCTTTCTGCCTTTGTTCCGTCGGTGACACGCGCTATCGTCCGTTTCCGCAGGAACTGACCGATCTCGGTAAACTGGGAGAACAGGAGAATGCCGATTGGTGGAAGAACATCATGATGCTGGAGAAGAAGACCGTTGCCGTTCCGGCGCCGCCAATTCTGCCCGAGAACCATCTGAAGGCCTCCAAGTACTTGGACGTGATCGAAAGGGATTCCGGGGCCGTGGGCAAGATTGCTCGTTGGTGCGTGTGGAGCGACAGCGCGCTGGACAAATGCCGATCTCTTGCGCGAGCAGCGTTCTCCAGGTACGCGAGAATGTCTCCGAAAGTTCTCGATATCCTTCTCGTACGCAACAAATCCAGCGAATCCAACGTCTATTCGTCGACAGGGAAGTCCGGCCGAAGTTTGAATGCTCGAAAATGGGAACGGATCAGAACTCGTGCTTGAACGCTCTGAAGGAAGGCAAGACGGATCTAGTGGTTGTCGACGGAGGCTCGGTGCTTCAAGCGATGCGAGAGTCCCACGGCTCGCCGATCGTCGCCGAATCCTACGGATCGGGATCCAGCAAGCTGGGCGAGAGAGCTGCGGTCGCGGTGGTCAAGAAGTCTTCTTCTATCAACGGGCTGGGTGAGAGCTCGGGTTTCCTTCGAACGCGATCGAACCCATCGACGGTGCACGATGAAACGACACACTTATTTTCTTGGATATCATCGACCGAAATTAATTGTCGAAATTTCGTACCATAAATTCAGTACACTTTTAACGAGTGATCGTGGCATAAGAAAACACAAAGAAATGACTTTCGCATTCGCATTAGCTTTAATCCAAATGCACGCGTATTCCAGTTGCTTCACGTTAAATAATTATTGCCTAAATCCTATTAGTTTATTAGTTCTCAATGTTTTATATATTATTGAGTATCTTATTAACAATGATTTTCTAAACAAGTTACTCCATCTGAAAAGGTATTATCATACTTTTCGACGCGAGTGTATGTTAAATTTATTTACTTTATTTGCTAAATTATTTGCCAAATTTTCTGCTTCTTAAAATTTGACCGCTAAAGGTGTGAGTGTAGGTATTGTAGATCTTCGGCGGTTTTCAGCAAAACTTTAAATCATTAGTCGAATTATGATAGCATTTAGTGTAATGAATTTTGAACGTATATAGTCGTTAAACAGTGAAATTGAATATCCAGTAACATGTAAAGTATTAAAAACTTATAAACTAATAGGATTTAGGCAGAAAAAGACCGGAATTTTCGTAGCGATCATACTCACATGCATTTGGATCAAACCTAATATGAATGTAAAATTTCTTTCTTTGTGTTTCCTTATGTTACGATCACTCATTAAAAATTTAATGAAGCTGTAATACAAAATTTCGACAAGTCGGCCGATCAGGTCCAAGAAAATAGATACAATGACTCAGATTAAGATTCGAACACCTCTTAAAACGCAATATGCATGTAAGTTACCGAGATCCATAAAACAAATTTTTTTAATTTTCATTATAGCCTCAGCTAAAAAAGTTTAAAAAATCAGAGTACTCGATTTTCTCTTGTCATTCTAAGCAACAGCAAAACTGTTATTGCGTTTTAAAAGGTGTCCGAATATTAACCCTTTGCACTCGAAGCTATTTTAACTCTAAAATATAAAATCATTTTTCTAACTTCTAGTATTTCTATTTTATATGGCAAAATGCATTTTACGCCCATGAAATTGACACTTGGGACTCGCCCAATAGTTACATTCTTAACAATTTTTGAAAACTAAACTTTGTTAATATAAAAGTTATCTTAAAGCGTGATACAACAAATTTTAGTGGTGCCTCCGAGTCAGCACTCGAGTGCAAAGGGTTAATCAGTATCACTGTACATATTTCGTTCTACTGTGGGACGGTCTTGTCACGAACGCGTCCGCCCGTTTCAGCCGATCTGCGCGGTAAACGTTCCTGCCACAGCGGCTTCAAGGGTAACTTCGCCGGTTGGACAGTGCCGATCCAGGTGCTCAAGGACAAGGGCCTGATAAAATCCGAGGACGACGTGGTCGACTTCTTCGCGGGATCCTGTGCACCTGGCGCGAAACCTGGCTCGAAGCTGTGTCAGCAGTGCGTCGGCAGCATCGCGGCCAACGACGATCGAGTGCGGGAAGCGACCAAGTGCGCGCCAACCGCGGCCGAAGCTTACCGAGGCGGAGCCGGAGCCCTCGCGTGAGTTTCAATTTAGCGTTTTCGAGCGTTGACGATCACGAGCAATCCGACCGTGCGTCTCGTTTCAGGTGCTTGACGGCCGACAAGGGAGACGTGGCCTTCTTGTCGTTGACGGCGTTGTCGCAGCTCGGTGAGTAGCACGCAACACGCGACGCGAGGTACGTTTCGCGGGGAATGTTCACGTTGCTTGTTCGCAGACGAGAAGGAGAAAGAAGACACGAAGACGGACGCTGATCGACAAGGGTCTAAGACCGCGGACTTCGAGCTGCTGTGCCCGCAAGGTGGACGCGCGCCCATCGACGATTGGGCACGATGCAATTTGGCCATCGAGCCACCCCGTGTCATACTGAGTTCCGCCGATAAATCCGCCAACGCCCTCGAGGAATTGACGCACGCGACGCTGGCCGCGAGCAGCCTCTACTCGAAGCGACCGGATCTATTGCAACTGTTCGGCGCTTGGGGAGGCGTGAGCAACGCGTGGTTCAAGGTAACGCCGCGATTCTGACAACGCCACCGTGCTCGCCCCGTTTCCAAACGCGTGTCCTCGCAATCAGTTTCAACCAACGCGAATTCATCCGATTTCAGGACGACGCGAAGGGCCTGATCTCGGTGGACAAGTCCTGGGACAAGTGGACCGATTGGCAGAACACGCAGCAAAAATTCGGCATGGCTTAAGACTTTGAAAGCCTTGGCCGAACCTAACTCGCGCGAACGAGCGCGCTTCCGACGGATGTCGCGAACGCAAAATAAAACAAAGCATTGGAATTTCCAACAACCAATTCTTCTTTTATTCGCTCTGATAAAGGTATAACAATAATAAAAGTCAAGTGGTAAAATCGTAGCCGCGACACACGAAGGCGATTCTCTAGGGATCAAAGAGTTCGAACGGCGACAGTTTGGCTGCTAGGTCGAGCAAAGGCTTCGCAATGCGACCGTATCTGCTGCGGCTGTACTTTCGATATACCACCTCGAATCCAGAACCCGTTCTATTCGAGTTCAGCATGGAGCGCAGCATCGCAACGCGACATCGGTCCGTCTCTGATCGGTCGTTCTGTAACCTGTTTCGCCGCGCAACACCGTCACTTTCGCGTTTCAAAAAAGGAGAACTCGTCGAGAGGTTTTCGCGTGGAAAATCGCCAAGATCGCCACTGACCTGTCCATGAAGATAAAACCAGTAGCCCCGGCAGCGGCGCATAGCAATCCTCTCCAAAACTGCCATCTGGGTCGAATCATATTGTTAACGTCAGCCTGGTTCTGGTCCAGAACAAGGCCGAGGACCAGCTCAACCGCCGTCTCCGTGACCAGACTCGCAGACGTTCGACAAAAACTTTCATCCAACAGGGTCAGGTCGATCTAGAAAACATGTTTGGGAAACGCTGCGTCGTACAGTGCGGCAAAACACGGTCTCGCGGGACAAAAATATAAAATACAAATATTCTCGTACAACGATATCAGATCTTAAATTATTATGTGCTTATGGAAACGTATGTATTATATAGGAAGCAAGGTTCTAGGCGAAGCTCAATTATTTTCAGTTTCAAGTTAACATATCTCAGAAATGCCACAAAATGTTCTGAGGCACAAATAGTTTCCAATTCGTTGCTTGTTTTGTTATGAGGCAAACAACATTGTCGCTAAAAAACGAAAATCGCTTACAAAAAACTTTCATTAAAAACATAGAAAAATACTCAAAAATAGTTGATATTTACACACTTCATATCCAATAACGATACAGGAGATGTGTGGATATCATGATACGCGGATATATAATTGGTCTTCGAGAAATAATTGTAGAAATAATGCAAAGATAGAACAGCTATTGCCAATCTTATTTTCTCTAAGCGAAACTATTTAAATCTTAGAATATTTTGTGCCGCTTCTGAGATACGTTAACCCTTTGCACTCGAAGCTATTTTAACTGTAAATAGAAAATTATTTTTCTAACTTACAGTGTTTTTATTTTATATGGCAAAATGCATTTTATGCATATGAAATTGACTCCTGGAAGTACGCTCTTAACAGTTTTTTAAATCTAAACTTTGTCGATATAAAAATTATCTTAAAGCATGATGTAACAAATTTTAGTGATGCCTCAGAGTCACCACTCGAGTGCAAAGGGTTAACTTGAAGCTGGATAGTTCCCTTACTTCCTATATGACATGTACGTTTCCATGAGCATATAATAATTCGAGAAGATCCGATAGCGTTATACGAGAATATTTGTATTTTATATTTTTGTCCTGCGTTGACGCACTTCTCGTCAAAATCGCGAAGTTCGAATGCTTACCACGTAACTGCCCGCGTAAAATAAGAACTGGAACACATCCTGGGTAATGTTCGAGCAAAAATTGTAGTTGATCAAATGGTAAGAGAGGAGAGAGTACGCGTCGGCGAAAGAGACGTTGTAGTCCAAGGCTCGTAGAATTTTTCTCTCGTATTCGATCAGCAAGTGCTGCTTTCCAGCGTAGAGGTCCTTGGCCAGGCTGATCATCAGCGAAGCCTAGAAACGAGAACACAACCAACACGGAGAAAACGAGGTAAAGCCGACTTCGGCGCCAGTCGACTCACCGTGGGTATTTTGTCCGAGTTCTCTAGAATTTTTAACGCTATCCACAAGCTGGCCAGCGCTGTAATCTGTATGAACGCCGTGTCGACTCGTATCCTATCGATCGTCGTGTCGAAAATCTTCACCGCTCGATAGATTATGTACGAGGGGAATTTGCAGTGCGTCTGCGAGCAAACACCTTCGATTAGCTTCCATTCGATCGGTGTAATCTCGCATCGAACGTTACTTACTCCCAAACGAATCATAAATTTAACTATGACTTTTCTTTGTTCGGCGTTCACGTGCACCATGAGAAAATTTCCCGACAATTTCGGAGCAAGGTATTCCTTTTCTCGTTCGACGATCGGCAGATCCGCGTGATAGTCGGCGTTGCAGGTCAGTCCGCCGAAACGTGAATTCGTCGTCTCTGGTAGTCGAACGTTTCTTACAGGTGTGCTCGTTATCTTCGGAAATACTGCAGAATCGATCGAGTCGATCGAGTCGACGATTCGATTCCCTGGGATCCTTCCGTTGCTGAGACAAAATACAGGGTGTCCGAAAAATGTTTCGCAATCCGGAAATGGCGGGTTCCTCGGATCATTTGAAGCAGCTTCTTCCTTTACAAAAATTTTCTCCGAGGCACCGTTAACGAGTTATTAACGAAAAACCGTGACCAATAAGAATCGAGTACGGCTGACGCGAGGCGGCCCAGCCAACCAGCGCACGAAGCCCAGTTCCGCTCATTGGCTCGGTCGCCTCGCGCCAGCGGAGCTCGCCTCTCATTGGTCACTGTTCTTTCGTTAATAACTCGTTAACGGTGCCTCGGAGAAAATTTTTCTAAAGGAAAAAGTTGCTTCGAACAACCCGAGGAACCCGCCGCTTTCGGATTGCGAGACATTTTTGGGACACCCTGTAGAATGCGATAGAAATTCGACGCGGTAGAAATACTCGAGCGTACCAGTTTCTCTGGACCATAGCATTAACATTGGGAGTAACAGCGATATACGCTTCACGCGTCTCGGTTGCAATGCGGTCGATCATGTAAGTTTGGTCAGTGGTCGAGCACGAACTTCCTGCGGTTACAAACGCTACAGTTTTTGGCGGTGGTCGCGACGAAAGACCTCTGGTGTCCGAGTTGGTGGAACTCGATCTGCGAGCAACGATGATTTTCGTTCATAAAGAACCTCGTTCCTCGCCCGTCGTTTCTCATCCGCTCACCTGACTCGCCGCCGAGGAATCTTCGACGGTAAAGCGTTTTCGTGTCTGCGCGACTGCCTCCCCTCCGTCGCAATTCTGTCGTCCTGCGACAGTTTCTGCGAGAGCCCGCGTCGCTTGCCGGTTCCCAGAACAGACTGAAACACCGAAGGTCGAAACAGGTATTGCGGGGAAAAAATGCAAGGAATTGTCGTACCTGCATGCGATCGATCCGTTGATCGCGCGAGGGCGCACTGGACGCAGAGTAAGCAGAGGATGCAATAGTTTTGGATGCCCCGGGTTCGGAGGCCAAACTGGGGGGTAGTCGTAGGTGTCGTTGCATGGCATCCTCTTCGTCGCAGTGGACGTCGAACGGCAGCTTCTTCGCCGACGAAAAAGCATTGGCGATCGCGAGTCCCTTCTGGCATGAAACTGATCCAGCGATCGTTCCACCTTTCGTTTGATCGTCATTCGAGCAAGGTATAACGAGTATTCGAGGAACTTGCTGCTTGCACTTTTTAACGGCTGCAGTCGCGGTCGAGGGAGGACGTTCGTTCTCCTTTCCGCTAGACCTGTCCTTTGAACTAGAAGCCTTCGCGAGGAATGCCTTTCGCGGAGCCAACGACATTTTGAATAAAGGTGTATATATACAAATAAATTAGATTGAATTAAAATCAATTAGAATAAATTAAATCGTTCACGAGATCGCATCCGCAACCGTTGACGGACTCGTCCGTTTTTGAATCGCACCTACTCGACGTACAGTTACGTGTCCGGACGCGCGTAACAACATTTAGCGTGTTTACGTTAGAACGACAGTGCGACCGTTCGTCTTGACTGATCGTCGCGCGAAGCCTCGCGACGTTCGTGACACTAGCGACACTCGCGAGCCTCGCACACGGGCAGGGTGCCGAACAGGAACGATCGCGGGATTCGTGTTCGGCTCGACAGGAGCGCGGCGGATCTTCCCGGGGATCGCGTCGCTTCGCCGCGAGGCGATCAATCTTTCGACAAGCAACGCCATCCAGGTGACGAGAAACGCGAGGGCTAGAAAGATGAGCAACGGCATCGCGTCCTCCAGTTCGACTGAGGACCATCCGCTTTCGAGCTGAAACCAGACGAGCATCCGCGTACAATTACACAGGACTGGCCAAGCTCGCAGTGCGACAAACAATGGACTAAAGCGGATACTTCGCATTGGTGTCGAGTTAAAAAATTAAGATCAGCTTATCTTGTTTTACGAAAGTGTTGTTATTTAGTTTTGTCGATCGGTGCATACTTGTTCTTTCTTGACAGAATATCAGGTGTTGCGTCTAGAAACGATCAAAAATCATTTGCCCTACAACCACGTGTGAGATACGTGGTCAGATAATCGGGCCAGAAGCGAGAACCGTGGTGCGTCAGTCGGGCCAAATATAAACAACACGAATCAGACTCGTGTTAGAATAGGGAATACGTGTTTTGGGATTTTTTGTTTTTCGTCGTTTAACAATAATTATGCATAACGAATGATAGTCTTGCACCACGTGCGGAGGTATGTATGTACTCTCGCTTGTTTTGTAGAATTATAAGCGTATAAACGTATAAGCGTTTATAGTATTTTAAACGATAATACTGGGTTGTATGTCCTTAGTGTCATTGAGTACAACAAAAGAATGATTGGAATTGATCGGGAAGACCAAACGCTAGTGTGTGTGTGCTTCCCTGTTATGAGAAAATATATGAAAGGATACCGAAAATTTTCTTTTATGTCTTTGATATACAAAATAAATGATGAAGAAAAACAGAGTTATACGTTGAACATAAAATTGAAATAGCCGAATCATTACTAAAAAATCTACCATTATCAGACTGTAAGGAACGAGGACGACTTAGCGACCAGAGATTTCCCATAGAGACTGTACCACATTGACCCCACATCATCGAAATCAGAGTCAGTTTGTAGGAGACAAAAATCGTAGGGAAACAATGTGAAGTGCAAAAGATGTAAAGTTCCATTACATATACTAAAATGCTTACCAAATGATACCATACGGTTGAAGACTATTAATTTACTGTAAATTATTATAAATTGGAATTAAAACTTATTACAACTTATAAAATTATAAAACTATTACAGAATTAAACCAGTTGCACTTTAGACACGTATTTACATTCCGCAAGACATGTGCAATTGGCTCAACTTCAGACGTTATCGAAACTTAAATCATAGGACAAGGGGTAACCCTTTGCATTCCGCTGTCCCCTCTCGTGGGACATCGTAATTCTAGCATATTACTCGGATGTCTCTCTCGTGGGACATTAAAGTTTATTAGTGATTACGGGGAATTTCCCTGAAGTTTTCTCTTGAAATGGCACAAGAAATCAAATCAAAATACAGTAAAATTACTAAGATATATACAAGAAATGTCAGCGGGTTTTGACGAGAACGTGAGAGGCGTGCTCACGACGGTCCGAGCACTTCAAAGGCGCCACTTGAAAAGAGCGACAAGGTAAGTTTGTAGAAGAAAGATCGGTATGCGAACATAGCACGCACTGTATAGTAAGATTTATAATCATAAAATCTGGAGCAAAAGATTTTCAAAGCTGAACTCAGCCTGGTTTGAAGCGTCGAGCGGTATAGATAGATCTAACGAGTGAGAAAATCGGAAAAGTGATTCTTCTCTTGGTAAATAAATTGTTTGGTAAAAGTTTTTTTGGCAAATATCATCTTGTGAGTTAGTAATAACAATTAGAAATTTTCAACCTATGTATTTATTCATATTTTTTATTAGAACAATGGCAAAACGTTCAAACACGAATGAGTCTCATGACACAAGTAGTAGCGAAGATGAGCTCCAGATAGACGTTTATACAGATATGTTAGAAAGACTAACTGTAGAAGGTTTTCTTCTACAGTTAGTTTATCGTTTTGATAGCAGTGATAGTGATATCGTCCAAGCAACAAGGCGACGAGAGAAAGAGTTCGCATAGATAGCGATTACAACAACAAAACAAAATTATAAAACAAACAATAACAAAATTATAAAAAATAAAATATTGATTTTTTTGCAAATTTCTCGATTTCAGCCAATTCATATAAGTCCGATATCATTATAATGTGTTAGTTAGTTCCAAAACCATACTAAATAATACGAGGGTCTGTAAATGCCCGTTTCTGCCGAAAAGTGGCGCTGAGTAGCTGGTAGCCATCGTCCAGAATAGTTCGGAGTGCTAAGGGTTAATACTAAACCTGTATAGTACTAACAGTGTAAGTGTCTTGTGTTATACTTTATCAGGCAATTCTTTAGAATAACGTCCTCGTCATCGGTTTTGTTGTGCCTTTGCTATATTGAATTGTTCGATGTGCGGATTAAAAATCTGAAACGAAAAATTGTCACCCTCTTCTCGTTTTCGAGATATAAAAGCTTATATTATGGCTCGGGCGCCAATGTACAAGTTTTACAATATTAGCAAAATAGAACTCACGAACACATGCAGTTTAGCATTCAATCATAATCTTGACATAAACTTGACATTTTAAACAACTGTTTCCTATACATATAAGCGTCGCTCGACCTTAGCTTTCGAGATAGGTCTAGGTTCGGGTTAGATTTCCTCTCGTCGCCGAGCGAGTGCAACACCTTGCCAGCTTCTTATTGCATGTAATATCTCAAAAACTAAGGTCGAGCGGCAGTTATATACTGGGTGTCCCAAAAATGTCTCGCAATCCGAAAGTGGCGAGTTCCTCAGGTCATTCGAAGCAACTTTTTCCTTTAGAAAAAATTTCTCCGAGGCACCGTTAACAAGTTATTAACGAAAAACAGTGACCAATGAGAGGCGAGCTCACTGGCGCGAGGCGACCGAACCAATGAGCGGAACTGGGTTTCGTGCGTTCGTGCGCTGGTTAGCTGGGTCGCCTCGCGTCAGCCGTACTCGATTCTTATTGGTCACTGTTTTTCGTTAATAACTCGTTAACAGTGCCTCGGAAAAAAATTTTCTAAAGGAAGAAGTTGCTTCAAGTGATCCGAGGAACCCGCCATTTCCGGATTGCGAGACATTTTTGGAACACTCTGTACATAGATAAAATTTGTTCGAAATGTCGAATTCTACAATATATTAAAAAATCATCGATATCGGAAGTGGCCACCTTTACCTACATACAATAAACATTTATATCTCGAAACTGAAATGGGAGCAACAATTTTTCCTTTCAGATTCTCAATCCATGTATAAAAATATACGATACAGCAAAAGCGTAAACAAATTGATGAAGAGGACGTTATTCTAAACAATAAACATTTATCAAAATAACGAAATAGAATTTGTATAGATATTTCGCCACTTCTATCATAATGTATACATGAATTAAGATATTTACTCAATTATTTCCTGCGAAAGTGTGCCTCTAACCTAGCACAGTTAAGACTTGCTTAGGAGGATATATTAGTGTGAACTTCTAAAATATCAAATTTTGTTTTCGCATGTTCTTAAAAGATATGCGAACTCCTAAAATTAACAACGATCTTATTATTGGTATACTAAACTTTAAAAGCATCTCGAAACTATGTTTTTCAGTACAATGTCCATGATGTCTCAAAACCTACTTAACCAATTGACTCAAAACTTTAAGTACGTACTTAGTACATACATATGTGACCACAGCCCCTACTAGAATCAACCAAAAATTTTTATTTTTCCTATTTTTTAGGTCTCCGAAGTTTAACAAAACCGCTTAGCTGCGTCGATCTATTTTTAAAATCAATTTTATATGCGTTTCATCGACCACACTGCAGTGCAATTTCTTTCGGCAAGTTGTTCTAGAATTATTCTAAAACGTACGACATTTGTGAATGTTTCACAAGCATTTTAACCTGAATCGTAGGAGAAGTACATATTTTTATCCTAAAATGTAAAAATGGCATTTCTTTATGACGTGCATACACGTCGTCCACAGCTAAGAGGTTAATTACCGATCCCTTTCTTTTGTTCTGGTAACTGTTATAGCCAAATTCATACTAATAAAGGAACTTTCATGTTTTTTTTTTAATTCAGACAAACAGAATAGCCGGAATCATGGACACCGTGAGACAATCTTTTTTTAAAAGCGACTATGTTTAAGAACATGCAGTGTTGGTGGGATAATTGGGACCCTGAATTATCGATGATGTGAATAAGTAATTTTGGAAGTGAAATATAGGGGCGTGGAAGAGTGAGTGTCGAAGGAGTGAAGAGAAAAGAGAGAAGGTGCTCGAAAGGAAAAGTAGAAATGTGCCAAAGAGTGTGTGCAAACTAAAGAACTTTAAGTTTTATCCTTTTTACTTTTATAATTGCTTAAAGATATGAAACATAGTTCATCTATACACTTACTGAACTGAAGTTTAATTTATTCGATAACCATAACCATGGTTTTATAAAATTATCACGCAGTGCCACTGATCTTAACTTCTTTCTCTTCAAAAAAAACTTTTGAAACGTCGTTGAAATGCATACAAATAAACCTTATCAATTTGATCACTAAAGGTGCAATAGTTCCTTTGCAAAAAATTCCCTAGCAAAGTTAAAGTCACACTAGAATATCTCCGTGTATCGAAACTCGAATGCCTACTCGTCACACTGCGAGGTTATGTTAACGAAATCGTGAACAAAATCGGAAATATTATTACCCTGTTCGAGTGGACGGCCCACTCGGTCTTTAGTAGCCTTTGAAGGATTCCGCTGTCGCGCAACACCAAAAGACTGAAAGCCGACGACAATGAGGAGGATAAGTGGAACGAGAGAGAGAAAGAGAGAGGCGAAGAAGAGAATGCTCACTTGGTATCGATGATGCCGCGATAAGGGCTGTGCTCCGGCACCGCCATAGCCACGGTCGTCTGCACCATGGTGTCGAGGGGCTCCAGCGTGCAGTCGACGACGCCTTGGAGCACGTATGCCATGTTGTCCAGAGTCATGAACGCGTACTTGTCCTCGCGACAGACACGTTCCAGCCCGTCCCGATAGTTCACCGGCAGATCGGTCTCGCTGGCTAACAGCTCGTCGAACATGATCCCGAGCACCCGATCGGTGGTATTCTGTCCGAATCGTGTCCGATCGGTGAACCTTGCTCCGAACAGGTTGCGGGATCGCTTACCTGAAAGAAACTGTAGTCGGCCGAATCGCCGATCACCGCGAAGCGGTAGCTACCGTCGGCCAGCATGCCCTCCATCGTGGTGAACGGCATCACGAACGTCTTCACGGCGAGGAAGCTGATCAACGCGGCCGAATAAGCCGCGAGCACGACCACCGCCGCCAAGTGCACGCTCAGATGCACCAGTCGGATCGGATCTAGCTGCGACGGTTCCATGCCTGGCGGATTTTACGAGGATATCAGACGACGATTGCGCCGCGATGGCGCGCAGTGTTCGAGAACAGCGATTTAGACGCGATGAAACCATGCTTTTTATCGTCACCAATCCTTTAATATCCGATGTAATTAAGTTCCTGAAGCTTTTCATTTGGACTACAATTTGTCTGTAAAAATTGTTCGATTGGAATAATTCGAAGTTTCTATCACTCTTAGGTATCTTCTTTTGCAGCATATATTTCTCCTTATAAGAAATAATGGTATAATGGTATATAATGGTAATATCATTATTATATACATAATATATAATAATGGTATTTTAAGTCTTCGCTTTTATAGTTAACGATTTTTGCACAGGAATGTAGATGCTTTATTGTAGAATATGGATGATTCGTAAAAATCTACAGGTATTTTAAATGCGCTTCATCGAAGAGAAGCAATTTCAGTACCCGTTTACCGTAAGTTTTTGGAATAGAAGTTATCGCATCGCTACGCATCAAAATAAAACCACTAGTCTTTAGTTTTGGTTCAGTTCTTTGATTTCTGTGAAAATTAGCTGCTAGTTTCTGCAAGTTTTTTAATAACGTAACTTTAAAATTAGCGAATCACGGATTCGCAGTGTGTACGAAGAATAATTTGGCTACATCTAGAAGAACTTTTAGCTCCTATTGTTTCTGTTATTGCGTATATTATAATTTCTAGAGTTTAGAGATGTAACAGTTAACAAAAACATAAGTATGCAAATTTAATTCTGTGGTTTGAAATTCAATTTTAGAAATTTGAATTTTAAATATATTATTTTCGATGCAAGCCATCGGTAACGTTTTATCAATGACAGGATAAATAAATTGTAAATTATTTCATATTTGTCCTTTTTTTAGACTATGTGTTCATTATCTCGCAAGTCCTTCTAACGTCACCCGTAACTTTACAGTGTTGTATTCGTGCATTTGAAACAGCAAGAGCATCGTCGGAAGTGTTGCCGCATTTGACTTCGATGATCCAATGTAAATAAGTTTACACAAGTTGTTAATCCACGATACTGACATTGGCAAAAATACGTTGCTACCCATAGGAAGATTATCGGAAGAAGCTCAAGAAGTACTGAATAATGATGTTAAATATTGTAGACAGTTTAATGCCAGAAAATATTCCAGGAAAGGATGTATGGAAGACCTTTTACTTATTCATTCAGTATCTTCAGATCCACTAATAAGCTCGTTAAGCTTAAAGAAAAAAAAAATCAGACCCATTCCCAAAAGAGTTACGGTTGCTAAAATCCTCAGATCCGTTTATTAGCGATAATAACGTAGACTAATTAATTCTAAAAGTATGTATTGTTCTTGTAACATTTTATTATTCTTTTTCCTTTTTATCTTTCTCATTAAGTTCTACTATTTCTTCGGTATTTGTACACATTATGTATTAGGTCTACCGGAAACTTTTGTCCGATAGTGTCACTTCAAGTTTCAATCCATATGCACATGTTGATTTGAGACATATATGACTATCTCTCTTTATCATTGCATTTACACTCATGTACTCTTCTAAATAAACTGAAGCAAAGATGTCTCGTGTCATTATTAAGTGAGACGCGATCGTGAAAACATGGCTACCGATGATAATGCCAGACCACACGCTGTTTTGGCGACTCGACAGAAAATCGCAGAGCTAGGCTGGGAAATTCTGTCGCATCCACCGTACTCCCCAGACCTAGCACCCTCCGATTATCACTTGTTTCTCTCTTTGCAAAACTTTTTACAGGAAAAAAAATTCAAAACTGAAGCTGATGTCAACCAAGCACTAGTTGAGTTCTTCGCCTCTAAAAATAAATCATTTTTGTAAAAATGGCATTTACAAGTTGCCATCACGCTGGCAAGAAGTCATAAGTAACGATGGAAAGTATATTCTACGATAAATATTATTAAATGTATGAAAATTGTGTTATATTTCAATTCAAAAACGGACAGAACTTTCCGATAGACCTAATAATTATATAAAAATGTCATTTCTCGCAAATACATTTCTCTTGTTTTCATTCGTTAAATAATTGTATCTTCATTCAACATGAAATAACGTTAAAATTATCATATACAATTGACATTAATTTCGTTGAGATATTCGTTTACCGGGATTTTAAAATATAGTTTTTCGCGTCCGAATCGCCGTTTTCGAGCACCGTGGGACGGGTCGCGTGGTTCTACGCACCTTGGCCGCAGAACACGCCGAACACGAAGAATATCACCTCGGATAGCATAGGGTGCTGCATCGCCGTCTCCTCCGGCGACAATGAGTCAGGGTGTCGATCGATTCTGAACGAGAACGCGTCGATCGTGGCGATGGAGAGCCCTACGACCGCGATCGTTAGCGCGATCGCGTTCCACGTGTTGAAAGAGAACGGCGCCAAGTACGCGTTCCACTTGACCGCCGTTGTGTCCGGCCTCTTCATGTAAACGCGGCATCTGAATACGGGAATAGAAACGCACATCGAGATCGAGTTCGAGTTTCGATCGAATCGCGTGTGATACTCGCTTGGTCGAATAGACGGGAGTGGTGAACTCCACGGCGTCCAGCCTGTCGGAGGTCATCATCAACTCGGTGGCAGCGAGGTCCGCTTGGTCCTCTATCAGCATCCTGATGGAACCTGTCCACGTGCCGTTCGGTAGACGCACACCCCACGATCCCGCCTCCATGTAACTGAACCTGAAATCGTAACGCTGATCGCCTTTGGTTTCCCGGAAATGACGGCTGCGTTCTCGTCGAATATGTTACGCGAGTTAGGATCGAGGCTCGCGGGACCCCGGAGTCCCCGATCTCATCTACGAAGCCTGGACCTCGCATCCCGTCGGCTTTTCTCCGAGCGACGCCGAAGAAGCGGCGACGGTCGGAAAAAGGACGCGTTCGAGGAGCGGTCGGCCGCGAACCAGGAGGAATACTTTCGCAGGGAGACGGCAAGGCAGTTGGAAGAACTTCGACAGCGCAAAAGGAAGGCCACGGAGGACGGCGACGCAGCGCCGGAGAAAACCCCGAAGACCGAGGAGGACAAGAAGTGACGAAACCCTGGAAACTTCCACTCACGTGCAGTTCATCCCCTCTTGCAGCAGCTTGATAACTTCGCCGAAGAAACCCGCGATATCGACCACCTGATTCGCTTTGCCCCGAAGTACGCGCGAGACCGGAGGATCCTGTGAACAATAATTGCGACGGTATGTATCCACGGAATTTTTGGCGAACGATAAAATGTCCGAGAAAAGATACGTGCGATCTTCTTGAAAATTGTGTAAGGAATAAATAAGGTAAAGAAAGCAATTCGATTGCTTCAACGATTGTGTAAATTAACGCGTTAAGCGCAGAGTCGATTTTGCTGGACTTTCCATTAAGGCGGCAGGCCGTCATTATTTGAGCCGTTTATTTTGTAAGTGGCATAAGTCACTTTTTCAAAAAAATCGAGTTAATGGTAACACTAATTACAATTGAACGGTATCTTCTCATTTTTTAAAAATTTGCAATCAATAAGTTGAGAACTATTGAGATTTGTTCGAGAGAAGTTTTGCTAATTATCGGTATAACAAACATGTTTATTTTGAAAGTGGCGTAAGTCGCTGTACTCGGGAAATTAATTGCAGGGCTTAGTGTAAAAGAAATAGAAACGTGTGATAAGTGTGTGTGAAGTATTGTTTTGAATTATTTTCAGTATTTTTAAAAAAGTTGTCATCACTGGACTTATTTTTATAAGTGCGAAAGAATAGTGCAGTTTTGTAAATTATATTATAGTGACGTGACCGCCAGCAGATGGCTGTAAAATGTTTTATAAACTAACTTTAGATGAAAAAGATGAATTTCTAACTTTGGATTTGTCACCAAAAAGAGGAAGACCTAGGCGTTATTCACAAATAGAAATGGATCCGTTATACGCTGGATCTCGTCCTGTTTCTTCAGCAAAATACAAAGACATGATGGACTTGCTTAATCATATA